GCATACACATGAAAATTGTTTGTTTTTATAATGCTAATAGTATTCATGCACCTGGTTCATTAGGCTAACCATCAAAAGGGAGAAAGGAAACCCACAGTCCTAAAAACTTACTTCCTCAACCCCACACATCCACACCCCTTCTCCCAATATTCCAGGTCCCTCCTCTCTGCCTCTAGGGCTTCTGGGTAGGAAAGGAGAGTTGACCAAAATGTGTCCCTAGGAGATGCATCAGTGCACACGAGTGGGCAGCAAGTGAGGCGTGTGGCTGGCTCTTCAGACAGATTTTCCAGCTGGACAGAAGGTTCTGACTCTTGGTGCCCCGGGGCTCTCGATTAGCCTGCCTGCGAGCAAGGCAAACTGAGACATCAGCATCCATAAGGGAGACACTTCGTTAATAGCAAATATTGGTGACTGCCACGACCTCTCACTCATTCAATATCCAATAGCCCGGGCTGTGTCTAAGGCCCGGAAAATAGAAAAAGGAACAAGAAAACCTAATCTGGTTTCTTCTGTTCAGTCGTCCGCTCAGTCAGCACCAGTGCTGTTGGGAGACAAGGAGCTCTGGGCCGGGAGTGTGAACCGGACAGAGGCAGCTCGTAGTCCTGCAGCTTAGAGTCTGACAAGGTCAACAGGTCAGTGCCTCAGGCGGGCTTCTCAGGACCCAAACAGCACTCAGCTTCTTTGCAGCAAGAGTGAGCAAGTCTCAGTGAGACTTGAACTGTCATGGGTGAATGGAAATTCCATCGGGGGAATTGGGTGTTTAAGGATTAAGGATTCTGAAGTCAAATGTTGTGATTTATGAGGTTGATTTATTGCTGAGTTTTTGAAAATGGGCATTCCTGGAGTGTATCCCACCGAGTACGGGCTTACAAACAGTCAAAACATCATCAGCAGAGGAGAGATCTGACCGCATTTCACTGATTCAGGTACAAACATGTTTGATGTAAGAGAAGCTTCCACCTACCGTGTCCCAGAAACCAGCTTCTGTTTTCCTAGTGTGATCCGTGAGCCTGAAACACGAAGCAGATTATACTAGAAGCTGATGTTCTAGCATCAGCCTGAAACCCTGGTCTTAACCAAAAGGGCTTTATCCACGTTTATTTCATATGTCCTTCATTCATCAACTGTATTGAGTATGTTCTTTATACCAGGTCTGTGCCTGGCGCTGAGAATCTAAAGATAAATATGACCTGGCCTATGGCCCTGGGTGTCTGGTAGATATAAGACTTCTGTGTCAACATGCAGTTACTCCCCAATGTTGCCTATTTTTGCGGTAACTTAAACTCAGGGTGAGCTTGGGAGACTTGAGAAAGACTCCTGGAGAAAACAGGACCCAAGCTGGGTTTTAAAAAGGAGTTGACCAGGTGGAGAAGGAAGGGGGACATTTTAGGAGGGAGAAAGAGTGTGCAAACTGGCACAGAGCGGTCTCTGATTGAGAAACATTGAATTCAGAGTATAGGATTGATGGGGACAGAGAAAAGAGAGTGGGTCGGACTGGGGCCAGACAGAGTTGCCCAAAGAAGGAATTACTGACCGTTATTATGTACTACCTGACTGAGTGAATTTTACCTCCGAAATAGAAACTCAAATCCGTATGTCCGGAGACAAGCAGCAATGTACTGCAGGTGAAATCTACGACTGTTTCTAAGGCCACATAGGACATGCGCGCACACACTATCCTGTGTCTTTAATCAATATACTTTGCCCTCAGAATGACCTGGATAGAGCGGGGAGAACCAGCATCGTCAAAGTGATTGCTGGCTAAAATGGCCAAATGAGGCAAGTCACCCCCAAACAATATAAGGAATGGCAGCTAATGCGGTATACTGAAAATATGTTATATAAAACCCTACTCTTGTATTCATTCAGTCCATCATTTGACCCCTGAAAGATGATAGTCCCATAACCAAGGTGCCATCATGTCCAGAATTTCTCTGAGCAGCCCCCCACCCAACGCACCTTGTCTCTGGTTCCAGGGCTAGAGGGTAGAGTACCAGGTCAGAGGTCCTGGGCCCGGGGGAATCTTCAGGTCTTCCTGCCTCCTCTGTCCCCAGAACTTCCCCATCCCAGCCCTTTCTCCACACAGCGACATGGGGTTTGGGAATTAGTGGAACAGAGGATGAAGATAAGCTGCCCCTAGACATAATTTTTCCTTGAATTAAATCCATAGGCAGTAAAGGACCTTAGGTGGCAAGTAGCACAGCCCCAGAGCCTCAGATGTCTAAGTGAGCTTTGTGTGTGACAAGGAGCCCCTGAGGGTGACACCGCCCCAGATCCATGACAGCTTACTGCCACACCTCCTGGCGCCTCTCTCCCTCCAGACAGCCCGGACAGGTGGCAGCTTCTGGAGCATTTGCCTGGGAGGTATTATCACACCCAGCTCTGCAGCCTCCCTGCTCCAAGTGCTGACGAGCTGACCTCCACCCACGACTCAATGACAACAAGCCAGAGACATCAATAAAACTCATTATAAGTGATAGCGGCCTTTCAAACAGGCATTCGGCTCAGAGAATTAATTCCTCCCGCCCCTCCCAGGCAGCTTTAGTGAAATTAAAGTGCGAATAGACATGCTCATGAGTTTCCCATTTCCTGCCTGCGTTCATCAGGAATCTAGGTCAGGATGGTGCTCCTCCTTCCCATCTCCACGGTACATGCCTCAGAAGGGCAAAGCCCCAGGTTTGCACGCCCCTCCTTCTCTTTGTCCGTTCCCCTGCAGAAGACCAAGTGTCACAAGGACAGCCACCCTGACACTCTGGTCTCTCTCGACTTCAGCACCAAGTCAAGAGGTTGAGTCTGGGCTCAGGCAGTGTTCACCCCAGGTGTCCATTAGCAGCGCAAAGCAGCTGTTCTCCAGTGTCAGCCCGGAAATCAGGTCATGAACTTCACCTTTTCCCATTGACCTCTGAGGGCTCCCTAGTTCTGCTGTAGGTAACATCCAGACTGGTTGTTCTGATGCAAAGCCCTGTCCTTCCCCATCTCTCTAGTCTCTCAGGTGTAAGTTCGTTTCCCTCCTGAATGATAGTAAGAGTAACAAAGAAATCATCATTTATACAGTGTTTGTAATCTAAAAACAACTTCCATGAATATGTGAAATTAGAGCTTAGAATTTTATTGAAAAAATGTTTTAAGTTTTTTGAAAGAAAAAAATATTACCTGTGATTGTAGAACCTTACTATAATTATTTCCGTTACACATTTTACTTCAGTCTCTGTCCACAGGTAGACATTGTTTATCATTGTGATCAAATGTAAAGAATGTCCAATTCTTTTGCTGTTTGCTTCACTTATGATCAGATCTTCATAAGTATCATATTGAATAGCTGGTTGAACATATTTCTCTGGGTTGCTAATTTGTGATTTATTTAATGGTTCACCCAACGAAGGGAAGACATGTATTTAGTTTCATATACTATGTTCTTTGCTTGCTTTTCAATTTTTTTTAGGAATAGCCCCAGGAGTGGGATTCCTTGGTCTTGATATGGACTGCCTTGCTGATATTTTTAAGAGGATGATACCAAGTTTTGGTACCACTAATAGGACTGATGACCATTTTTTTATTATAAACTAAAAGACCTGAGAGACATGTCAAACTTAATGGAAAAATTATCTTCTGTTTGTTTGTTTTGGTGAGGTCCTTTCTAATATTATCCGTCTCTTCAGTGGAGGCCTAAGGAAGAAAAACGAAAAATTAAGAGAAGAGTAGTTTTGCAGAATAGTTCCCATTCTGTGACTCACCTCCTTCCCTTCCCTGTTTCTGTTCCTGGTGGGTGAGGAGGCCGTAAGAGTATGAGATGCTGGTGGGTCTGGGCTTGAACAAGCGCCTCTCCATCTTAATGAGAGAACCGCTAAGAGTGAGCTAGACACTGACCAACCCTCAAGAGTCACACAGCCTTATGGCTGATTGTGTCAAGAGAGGCAGCCTGCTGATGCTGAGCCTTTTGAGTTCCCTCTGGGTAAATTCTCTAACTCACCTGAAATTCTGAATCCTGGAGGCATTGAGACCTATTTCTGCCTTCCATCTCTTTCTGTGGCATTCTTCTGTGACACTGGCCCAAGGCAAGTCCTCTGATAGCGTTTAAGGCAGATGATGATGGGGAGAAAGCTGCCCCTAGCAGTGGATGCCTGGTGGGCACTTACGGAGGGTACCGCTCTGGAGGAGGGGTGGTTATGAGCAGTGCTGGTTATAAAGGCAAGAAGAAGGAAGGAAGGCTACCCCATGGGTCCTAACGATGCAGCATACCAATGTAGATACATTTGACCCTTCCCCTCCACATTAGGGGGTGCCAGGGTGTTGAGATGTGTGATCATTATTGTCTTCTAAAGGTTGTATCCTGCTGACTGCTAGAATAGACCAGTAGGATAATCATTGTACCCAACATTGCACGATGCAGACAATTTGAGAAGTGCACTTTAACACACATATTAGACATGACAGAGTATGTCTAAACCAAGGTCATTCAACTAAATGAAATGATAGTGTCACTTAGGCCTTAGTCCTTTGGGTGTGGCTCACTCCTTTTGCACTTAGTAGATGCTCACCAGTGAATGAACCCTGGTGTTCTGACATTGAGCCTATGTTTCACCCTGAGCTGCTATAGGGTAAAAGCTAGAGTTTGTGCAGCCTTTGCTCTACAGTAGTTTTGAGATCAAGGGATGGACGTGTAACCTAAAGATAATGGCTCACCCAAAATCTCGTTACCTACAATGTGTTAGGAAATGTATATTCCTACAAACATCTTTCTGTTTGGGGGAATCAAAGATAGAGCAGCCCTAGTGCTGCTGATTGGGAAGGAGCTTACAGCTTGTCATAGTCTCCCAGAAGGGGGATGCTGAAGAAGACAGAGGAACAGCTCTGGGCTCTATGGCCTTGGACAACTCATTGGCCTGCTGCTTCTCTAGACGCACTGTGAGCCTCCTCCATATTCAATCCGCAGCCCTTTGTAGCTACAAAACCAATGTGCCAGCTTTCCTGAACACGGTGTTTGTTCTGATCTCTCGTAGGAGGTGCTTGAACTGGCTTTCTCCATCTTGTATGACTCAAACTGCCAACTGAACTTCATTGCTCCTGACAAGCATGAGGTAAGGGTCTCAGGGGGTTTATTTTATGAGAGAAGGTCACATTTTTCTCTAGAAAAACAAGCAGGAGAAAAATGTTAGTAACACAGAAATTTCATTGAAAAAGAAAAGGCCTGCCTGAGAAAAATCAGGAACAAAGGAACATCTTGTTGACTTGGAAAGGGATGGGAAAACTGCCAGTTTCTCACTAGCTCATTTAATAGCCCATGATAAAGAAAAATAATGTATGGAGGGGTAAGACTTAGCAAAGGCATAGTTCTTAATCCAGGAGAAGAAGCAGCCCTGGTTACATCTTTGGAGATGCCATTGAATATTTAGTTTCTGGTCCTGATTACCCCAAGATAAACTTGTCTTTATTCTTGAAACTATCTTATATACCTGAAACTAATAAAAAAATATCAAATGTAAACTGGAATTGAAAAGTACAATTTAAAAAAAGAAGACATTTGATAGAGTAGGTTTCCTACCATGTTTCTTTAAATGACTTTGAGAAGTTCAGGGCTGTCTCTGGTGTTGGGTTTTATTTTTGAGATGCTTTTATTCCTTTTTGACATCTTGTTATATGTATAATTTGTTTCTCTTCTTGAGGCACACTGTCAGCTATATTTAAAATATTTAGCATAAAGCTAAGAAAATGCATTTATAAGATAAAGTAGCAGCTATGGTTGATTTAACTTTTTATCCAGTAAACTAGCGTCCAACATCATGCTTGAAATTCTTATTTTTGTTTTGTGCGTGGTTGCATAAACATTTTTCAGAAAGGAAGGGAACATTTTACTAAAACATGACTCTTGTTCCCTATTTCCCCTGGGAGACTTAGCTCATTTAGAAGTTATTCAGTATTGGGTTTACACTGGCTTGAAGCTTTTGAATAAAATTGTACATCCCAAAGAGAGAGGAAAGATTAGATGCAAATCCTGCATTTAGAATGGTGTTTAAATAGAATTCTGTGTTACTTGACATTTCGTTTGCAGAAGGCTATGACTTTGTCTTCATCTTTCTGAAAATAGATTGTGTGTCCTACTGTTTCTCTTTCTAAATAAAACTGTGGTTGTGCACAGGCCAGCATAGTCACGATGTGTGCAGCGGCGGAGCAAACCACCAAACACAGTGGGCCTGTGGATGGCATTTAAATCCAGGCGAGGCTGTTTTCCCCAGGGCACGTTAACTCCATTTAACACTCAGTGTCCGGGGACTGCCGCGTCTGCATTCGCGCCTGCCCCCCATGGTGCAGTGGGGAGGAAACGCCGCATGCTTGTGGGCACTTTCGATGGCTCCAGACCACCTGCACGTCTGTTGCCTCGTTTAATTGGCATCATCACCCCATAAGACAGAAAGTTGTACTGCAGATGTCCTCGTTTATAAATGAGGAGGGAGACATTTCCAAGAATGGAGTAGCTCAACAATAGTAAACAGTAATTACAACTATTCAATGCTTTACGTACTTCATCTCACTTAATTCTCGTCTAAAACTCCAGAACAACAAGCTGGTAGTATCTCCATCTTATTAAGGAGGGGATTGAGACACAGGGAGGCTAAGACACTTGTCCAAGGTCAAACAAGGAGTACATGGCAGAGCTGGGATTTGAACTGAAAGGGCTCCAGAAACCCCTTCTCTTTGGCTCCTGACTGTGAGGCTAGGAAGAGAGAAGAAAGAAAGCAGGACCTGGACTTACAGTATCCCGCCTGTTCCCATCACCCAGCCTCAGCAGTGACCGACTCGCTGCCAGTCTGGTTTCATTTCTAGCGCCCGCACCCAGCTACCTCCCCAGGTTAGTTGCTAAGCCAGTCCAGATCCCATACCATTTTATTTGTAAGTGTTCCTATGCGCATCTCTACATAATAAACAGTCCATTTCGAAACCTAACTGCGGTACTACCACCCAATTTTGTAATGCTCTGATACCACCACCGTGTGCAGTCAGTTTTCAGATTTCTCCAGCTGACTGGTTTGTGTGTTTCCCTTCTCTGCTCTGTTCAGATCAGAATCCACATAATATCCATACAGCTGGTTAACAAGTTTCTTACATGTGCTTGAACCCATTGGTTCTCTCTCCCTCTGAGCCCCCCAGTTCCTTGGGAGCATGTGCTCATGCTTGCTTTAATTGAAATTTATTCATTAAAAAACATCATCTGTCTGGTAACATTACCACTAGTCTAGATTTTATTTATTATAATTCTGTGTATTACTTTACTGTGGCTGCTGTAACACACTGTCACATACTCAGAGGCTTAAAATGACATAAGTTGATTATTTTACAATTCTATAGGTCACAGTTCTGATACAGGTCTTTCTTGGCTAAGTTCAAGGTTATCAGCAGAGCCAAATTCTTTTCTGGAGACTCGCGGGAACATCCGTTTCCTTGGCCTTTCCATCCCTAGATGCTGCCCACACTCCTTGGCTCGTGGCTTCCATCCGTGAATAGCAGTATTGGGTCAGATCCTCACATCTCCCTCCATAGTCAGGTCCCCTTCTGCCTGTCACTGCACTCTCTGACTCCTATTCTGTTTCCCTCTGCCGCTTTTAAGGACCCTTGTGATTACATTCCCACATGGACAATGCTAGATAATCTCCCCGTTTCAAGATGAGCTAACTAGAAGCCTTTGTGCCCTTGGCCATGGAACCCAGCATACGCATGGGTTCCAGGGTTTGGACAGGGTCCTCTTGGAAAGGAGGGTGTTATTCTCCCTGCTGTAGACTGCACGTGTGTCACTTGTTTATCCATCTTCTCTGTTTCCTGTTAAGTTATAATTAGATGATGACTCAAACTCAGGCTCAACTCTGGGCAGCGGAGACGTGTTCTTCCACAGTGTCTGGTTCTCTCTCATTCAGTGGATGTTAGCAGCCATTGATGATTATTATTGCCTAGATCCCTGGATCCAATAGAGGTTGCAAAAGGTTAATATCCCAAATCTGTCCTTCCTTCTTCATTTTAAGTGGGAAGGTTACATAAACAGAAAATGGCCTTATTGACCATTTGACTACCCTGAGGTTATACAATGTAGACATCACAAACAGGATATACACTTGGTTTCTTTTACCTTCAAAATAATGAGCATCTTCCATAGGAGACTGATGAGGTGTTTTGGGTGTTTGAGTATCATTATGAAGTAATGGATATAAACATATTTTTAAGTCTAAACATTTAAACATATTGCTTCTTGGCCTTTTGGCTAAGATCGAGTATAAACATTTAAACATAGGTTACTGTCATTGTCCTCATCAGTGTCCCTATCTAGAGAAAGTGGTAACACCCTTTGTTGGATCCTGAGTCCTGTTGACAGGACCCGGATGTCTTTGATAATTTCGAGTCACTGTGGTAAGACACAATATCCCAGGCTCATCTCATATGTTCCCTGCCTTTTCTTCATGGAGCTTTGGTTCCTTTTAGTGTAGCAACCAGAATCTGGGCATTGGGTGTGTCCATTACCACTTGGTTGGTCATTACTTTTAGGTTTTTTGTGAACAGAGCTGCGAGTTATGATTTTTTGGAAAGACAAAATGCATCATACATTTCTACTGATACTTCCAACACAGATTCAGTACCACAGAGTTATTTATTGGTTGATGTACTTTTTAAATAAAATGTTCTATGCCTGCTGCCTCTCAAAAGAAAAGCACCACAGAAGTGTTCCCACGGGTTAAATTAATCTGTATTTGGAAGCTGGCCAGCACTGGGAAGGCCGCACAGAGGAGCAGTAATCCTCGGACTTGGGAAATCACAATGAGACAGAGCCAGACCTGCGAAGGGCCTCGGGGAGCAGAGAGCTCCGTGGTACACATACCTGAAAGCACCGCTCACATAGCTGGGAGCTTTTCTTTGTTGTTCTATTACAGTTGTGCCAATGTTTACCCTTTGCCCTCCTCTGCCCAGCTCACCACTCCAGCCCACCCCACACTCCCATAATCCCCACACTGTTGTCCACATCTGTGGGTCATTTATACATGTTCTTTGACCAGACTCTGCCCCTTCTTTCCACCCTTATCTCTCTCCCCCTTCCCTTCTGGTCACTATCAGTCTGTTCCTTGTTTCCCTGCCTCTGGTTCTCTTTTGCTCGCTTGTTCATTTTGTTCATTAGGTTCCTCGTATAGGTGAGGTCATATGGTATATGTCTTTCACCACCTGGCTTATTTCCCCTAGCACAGTGCTGTCCAGTTCCATCAAGTTTCCTCTCCCGGGATCTATAACATAAGGATCTCCAGGGTGGGACCTAGGTATTTATTTTTATTAAAGTTATGCTATAAAGCAATGAATGCTCAGGTGTGTTCAGAATCCATATAAAGTATTCATGAGGACACTAATACTTCCAGAACACCCTAAGCACTGAGCTAACGTTAGATGGGTTCAAAGCTTTGGCCAAGCTCCCAGAGCCCGGGCAGAAGCGAAACCCCAGAGGTCAGGGTGGCAGCGGACAGACTTGGCCTCATAACACGCCCATGGCGCCCCCTCTCAGCTTAAAGAGCAGTGCCACCAATGTGCATCACGGAGGGTTCCATCCCATCCCTACAACCTCAGGTTTGTAGCCCTCTTGTGGCAACATCTGCTATATATTCTGGTAATCACAGTGCCAAAGGCAAGAGGACTAGGGTCTGGAATTGCAACTTGAGACAGGGAGGGAAGGAGAGGGGGGAGTCTCATGCTAGAAGGAGGACCAGTGGGACAAGAAGGACAGAGCAGTTACTGCTGCTGAGGTCCTGTACAGCCTGGGACAGCCTGACACATCAGCAGAGCACGTGGTTGTCTGAGGCGCCGGCAGCGGCGGTGAGTCTTCTCGCCGGGCATCGCAGCACCACAACCAGTCGTGGCAGGACCCCAGCCTCCGGGAGGGACGCCGCCAAGGGCAGGCCAGGTCCTCAGGTGAACAAGGCCCAGCGCCTTTGCTCCCAGAGGTCACAGTCTACTGGAGAGGCAAAGGGCGCGATTCCTGTTGTGAGAGGGGGTAACCGAATACTTAGTGGGCAGCCCTGGAGGGCTTTCCAAATGAGATGATGTCCTCATGCCCCAAAGACCTAGAGGAGAGAAACCCTGGGAGCAGAAGATCCAAGGGGAAGAGGTCCCCGACAGGCCAACACACCACCCACTGAGCCCATCCCATAATTGTAGATGTTTTGTCTACCAGACGCTGGGCAGCAGAAGGCTCCCCTCCAGCCCTTTTGCTAAGAAATAGAAAGGTAGGACTACCACTGATTCCCGGGTGGCACAGGGTTGTCCTCACACGTGCCAGGAATCAGAGGGGACAGGGCTGGGCTACTAGGCCAGGAACCATACCGGGAGTCAGGAAAGAAGCAGGCCTGACCTGAGAGTTCATCCAGGAGCGTTGGAACGTATTCCAGCTATACCTTAAAATGACAGCTCCACGGGAGGGTTGTTAGAGACATTCTGTTGCACAGTCGTGGGGAACTCCAATCCTGCTCCCACGTAGGGAGGCATTTTTTGCACAGAAGAGCACAGGCACTGGAGTCTGATTGCGTAGGTTCAAATCCCACCCACTCCACATACTAGCAAGTTACTGAACTCCTCTGTGCCTCAGTTCTCATAAACAGAGACGATAACAGAAATATCAACCTTACAGAGATGTTGTGAATGTTATAAATAGTGATGGAGGCAAAGTACTCAGCACAGAGCCGAGCAGGTGTGGAGTAATCACTAAGTGTGAGCTGTTGTTAGTAGTCTTTAAAGTAGTAGTCATCAGTAGTGACCCCTGTCACCTCCTTTCTCACCAGTACTGTATCTGGACGGACGGGTTGAACGCGCTGCTGGGGAAGGACATGCTGAGTGAGCTGACTCGGAATGACTTGGACACCCTGCTCAGCATGGAGATCAAGCTCCGCCTCCTGGACCTGGAGAACATTCAGATCCCCGACGCCCCCCCGCCCATCCCCAAGGAGCCCAGCAACTATGACTTCGTCTATGACTGTAACTGAAGTGGCCGGCCCCAAAGCCACCCCTCCAAAACTGGGAAACCCAGCTAGCAGGAGAGGAGAAGGGAAACACGCCAGCGCCTTGGAATCCTCTTGTGAAGGGAAGCTGTGTGTCAACACTTCCTGGGGCCTCGCCTCTAGTCCCGCCACTTTTCTGCCCCTACCTGACATCTGGCTCACCGCCCTGATTCTGTTCCTAGATGCCACTGCTTTAGGTTACTTCCCATTGCTGCAGTCTACTGGTGGGACAAGAGCAAAACCCACCACCGTCCAGAGAGCCAAAGGGCCCTCCCGTCCTGCTCCCCCGCTGGTATGTCCTCCCCTCCTGGCGTGTAAAAGCCAGCAGTGCCAGGCTGCCCCCAACCAGCTGCCAGACCGAGGGAGAGCCCCAAGCACAGCTGGTGTCTGGAAGAAACAGCCTAACTACTTGAGAAGAAGAAACACCACCTCCTCATTCCCCTTCTCCCTACAGTCAGCTCACACCACCAGTTCCATGTGAACTGAAATCTGCTTTCAAATCCACTCCCTCTTCCCTTCTGGCCTCAGCCCTGCCCTGTTCCTTTCTGGTCCCAAAAGCAGCAGTCGCTGCCTTGTCCTAGTTCTTGCCAGCCTTGGGTCCCCAGACACGCTCCACAGGTCCCATGCCCACTTCATGTCTGCACTGTGACCCTGGCCAGCCTCCTTTCCTCACCAGCCAGTCTTGGGTTTCCTCCCCCCGCCCCAACCTGCACCTGCCTTCCTCATGCTCACACACCCTCCCAGCCCCTTAGCTGAAAGCACAAAAGGTAAACTCAGTCATCATGCTCCATCTCTAATATAATATCCAAAACCTACCTGCCTCTGCGACAGGCAGCTGCGAGCTAAGGGTCCGGTGTTACCTTCTCCTGGGTGGGGGCAGGGGGCACTTCTGCTGCAACACAGGTCCCACAGGATGGTCAAGGTGTGAAACGTCCAAGTTTACATCATTGTAATTATTACAGGTGTTGACAGTTTGCAAGGGTTTGGGGTTGGTTGATCGTTTGGTTTGGTTTTTTTGCTTTGTTTTTGTACAAAAGAGTCTAACATTTTTTTGCCAAACAGATATATATTTAATGAAAAGAAGAGATACATAAATGTGTGTACTTTCCAGTTTTTTTAATTATTTTAATCCTAAACATCTTCCTGAGAATAACATTCCCTTAAACATGCTGTGGAATAAAGTTAATTGTGATGAGTTGGGGAGCCAGTGCGTTACTGTGGTGACTTCAGTTCTTGCTGTTCATTCGTCAGGGTCGCCTGCGAGCCTGTCAGAAATGCAGCATCTTTGGCCCCACCCCAGACCCGCAGAAGCGGTTCCTGTGCCCATTAGGGGACTCTGGAGCCTTGCTGGTCACCGTGGGCTCTGAGCATCAGTAAAGGATGTTACTTCTAGGAAGACCATCTAAACTCATGGAGAAAATCAGACCCACTGTGTAAAAATATTATCTGTGCACTGTGGCCTTTGACCCTGACATTCTCGTTTATGTTTGTCTCCTTGCCACTTTATAACATGTAGAACGGACCGAATTAAACACTTCACACTGGAAGGGAGCAATGGAAAAGAATGCAAATCCATAGATGAGAAATAAGTTAAGCCAGCACTAAATAAATCTCACTATGAATTAATAAAGCATGGGTCAGAGCCCAGTGAGGGTGTTTTGGAGGTTAGTTCTTCCGGAGGCATGTCTGGATCATCAGCTTTGAGGGAAGGTGTCAGCAAGGTCCAAGCTTGCAGAACTGAGCATGGTGCAGCGCAAGCCACCACAGCAGAAGTGTCAGATGCCTACAGGTCACTGCTGTTCATTGTCACCAAGATGTCAATTACAGATTGACCTGAGTCGCAATGACGTGGTTCAGGCTCTCCATAAAATTGCAGGGGAAAATAAGTCCTTTACAATCTGTAGTAATGCACAGGTGACTATGCCTTCCACCGGAGGAAGTACACACACGCCTGAGCATGGAGTGGATGCTTCCTGGATCGTTAAACTCCGATGACGTTAACTGCATGTCTTTCATGTCAGGGGCATGTGTCGATCTGCCCACAATCACGATAAATGTGGTAAGTGTTCAGTAAAAGAAAGCAGACAGAATCATACCACTTTTTATTTAGGAGTTTTCGGACACTGTCCATGCAAAGAGGAATTCTTTGGACCGAGATACCTGAGGTCCTGGAACTCTGGGTGTGAGAGATTGATCTGTCCTATGACCCTTGCTGGGAAGAACCAGCCCCTCTCCCTTCTGTAACTCTTGCTTTCGTAGACACTAGCCCTCTCGGGACTCTACAGAGAGCATCATCCTAGCTCTCCCTGGACCCGCTCCCGCAGACAGGTGAGATCTGGGAGTGTGGTCTCACTGTTCGGTGTTCCCAAGCAAGAACCATTTGAGCCCCGACTGGTACAAGCAAGGGAAGAGGGGAGGGGAGTAAAAGTACTGAGAGGGCAGAATGCACTGCCTTTTGAGAGAGAGAGAAGAGGCGCGCCAATGAATCCTGAGTTTCTGGAATGGTGAATAAGCAGATGACCGGGCTGTGCTCTAACATCTGGAAGAGGCAAGGAGCAGCAGGTTCTCAGAAATGGTAATGAGGCGAAGGCGAGACTGTTGGACTTCTCCAAAGAAACTAGACTGTGGGCCAGTCACTGAACTGCTGTGAGCCTCTCACCTCACCAAGTGGAAATGGTGTCGCTTCAGAAGGCTGGAGACAGGTGGCTGCAAACCCACACTCAGCGCTCAGTAAGTAAATGCCCCTGCCTCGCCTTCCATGCCCAAATCCAAAGCCTGACAGTATTTGAAACACTCTCCCCCAAAGATTACTTTCAATGCAACAAAATCCACAAATGCAGTAAAAAGGATTTTCAATTATTTGACTTGAGCTTGTGTTAAAAACATGAAATCCACAGGTGTCAGCTGTACAGACAAAACTGGAATCGGAAGTACTGAGCCCATGGTTGCAGCCGGGGCCTCCCCAGGATGTGGTGGTCTCGGCAGGCCTCAGGGCTCTGCCACTCAGGTAGGGATGGAGGGCAGGCTCCAGTGTGTGCTACCTGAGAAGAGAGCTGGGGTCTTCCCCCAAAAGCCAGGATCCTGAAAGGGCTCAGCTGCAGGTCAGAAGGCAGAGATCTACCCATCGGTGCAGAACCATAATGTGAAGTCTTACTGACTGGCCTCTGGGTAGAAAAAGACTTGCCTAAAATATGAAACTTTGGGCCTGCAGCTGTTATGCTTTTAGGATACATTTTACTGTTTCCATGGGTTTCTAGAATGCCCACCTTGGAGACTAACATAAAACACTGGCTGGGCTGGGCACGGCTGGACTCCCGGCAGAAGTAAAGCCCTGTCTGTGCCCCATTCCGGCTCTAACTTGCTGGCAGTGAGTCTTCAAGTCAGTTACTTCCTACTTTGTAAAACATCTGTAGAACCTTTTATAACAACTGTTGAAAGATTACATTAACTCGTGTTTTTAAGTTCAATAGTATGTAGCAAATTCCCATAGGTGGAACTTTTGTTGCCAAAAATCTCCCAGGCTGGAGGCTGAACACATGGACCTCACAGTTTCTATAATGCTCACTTTTCTCTCACGCATTACTATTAAGCCTTATTTTCACTATGCAAATCTTACCCCCACCTTCCCAGGTGATAGTATTGGATGTTGAACAACTGGGCCAGACCCTGGGTTTTACCTGGAAAACCAGGATCAGTGGTCCAACTGGCAGGAGTGGAGCTAAACATGGGAACTGAGTCACCATGCAGGAGTCAGGCAGGTGGTAGGAGCAAGGTTAGAAGCTAAGGGGTATTTCATGTAGTGCCAGGAATGATGGGAAGTCTCTGTAACATCACTGTACCAGTCTCTTGGACACGGTACAAGCACTCCCTGTGTGGTTCTAGCTGCCATTTCCTGACCACCCGGTGGCAGACATGGGCTAAATGCCCCTGTTGCAGTATATCATTCTTCCCAGCCCCGCCAGGAGACTGGTAGTGCTACTCTCTTCACAGAAGAGAAGTTCAAGGCTCAGGGAATTTAGGTGACTCTCCAAGGTCACACAGTGAGGAAAGGGTTGAGTCGGGGTCTGAGGAGGCTTTCTCTGATCCCATGGGCAATACGGACAAAAAAGGACAGTTAATGGTGGCCCTGCGACCTCTGATGCTCATGCGGTTCATTTTCGTGATCCAGTTTGGGACCTGACATTTCTCTCTTGGATGGGGAAACAGGCCCCCACATTTTGTTAGTGGGTTTCTTTATCTCTAAAATATTATGCTTCTCTGTGAGCCCTGTTGAGCTGTGCCCTGATGCCTGGGCCTGCTTGGGGTCCCCCCGTCCCCACCATGGTCCTCAAGCTCATGCCTCACTTGCTCAGCCTCACACCTGAGAAGTCTCCACGGCTGCATCAGTTTGTTCTTCTAGGTTTTCCACCTGGGATCTATAAGGTCTTATCCCGGCTGTAAGATTTAAGAGATCTCTGTTCACAACATGCCCTACAAACCTGACTGTTTTATCTTGGATTCAGTCAACTCTTCTCTTCCTGGTCTATCTCTGTTCTTTGGAAATATTTATTCTCAGTCAACTTTTTTAGCCACCTCCTCCTTTTCTCTGGGGTCACTTGTGGTCCCCAAAAGCTGCCAGGAGAGCTCTTTAAGAAGGTATGATTCCAAATCACATACCCAGAGATTGTGAGGAGGTGCTGCACACACAAAAGAGAGCTGTCACTCACCTGTTAGGTGGGTGCCACTGGGTGTCTGCCTTGTGTCAGGAGCACCCACAGTTTCTCCATCAACAGCTGCCCGGCACTTGCCCCCTTACAGACTACTGGCTCTTCCAGAAGTGAGGCCTTTCCTTCTCAAGACTGGATTTTGCATTTTTTTCTGTTTACATTTGGAGCAGAGCCACTATGACCACAGAACACAAAGCCGAAGTGGAGAAGGAACCAGGCAGGCCAACCCCAGGAGCCAGCGCAAGGCAGGACCTTGGCGCATGCGTACTTGCCAGCTACATACTTGGTGCCCCAGGAGCACGTGGCCAAGGCTGGCAGAAGAGCGCAGCCGTGTCCATCATTCTTTCTGCCCCACATAGGGCTGTCTAGTTCTTGCACCTACTGTGAGCGGAGTGAGGAGAGGTAAACAGTCCTAAGTGCGATTGCATTTGGCCCAAGTCTTTTCAACATCTGTAAAGCAACCAAGCGTTCATCCATCACTAAATGAAGTCATAATTGAAGCAGCTGTTTTCCGGGCACATCTCAGTTGGGGCAGTTGGACGGCAATTTATTTCTGAGCAGCACCTTGCCGACACCTCACTTGTACATACAGAGAAGAAACCCTTGGAATATCTGCTTCAGGCAGGCATGCCGGAATGGCTCTTTAAATTCGTTTTAAATAATGCATATTGTGTTGTTTCTTCATTTATAAAATACTCATAGAAAGTTTGGAAAATTTAGAAGCATGCACCTAGAAAGAAAATGACTTCTAATTAAGATAACCATCTTTAGTATTTTAATGTCTACTCCTTATAGGGATTTACTAATAGGTGTAAGAAGACAGGTAGATACACAGGTAACATGTATCACCATGCATGCACACATACATAGATATAGATCTAGATCATGGATAGTTACTATATAATTGAGAATATACTGTATATAACATGTATTTTTTACCACCAACTGAATGGAACCAACCAGAGAAAACGAGTCTATTCATACAAATCTGCCCTCAGTTTAGTCAAGTCTCTTTGGGGATGGTCTCGGCCAGTGATTCTATTTATCTTCTTCTAGTATTCAGCATCTTATTTCATGTGGCCGCCCTCCATGACTCCTGGAAAAGTCCCCTGACCAGTCTGGGCACCAACAGCACACACCAGGACACCTCCGTGAGCACCTTCCTTGGAGCCTGTTACTAGACGAGAAGGATGACCGAGTTATGTAAATCTCTTATACCAAATGGCGAACGTTTGAAGGCAATACTTCAAATTAAAAAAAAAAAAGAGGTAATGGAAGCTGCCAGAGAATTGTTAGCAGAGCCCAGCTGGAAGACCAGAGAGGAAAGGAAGACAGGCCAAGTCAAACTGAATTGTGATCTTTCCCCTCACACGCAGTAATTGGAGCAACCCCATCTGACCGTTGCCCCCCGCCCTCTTTAAAACCTCCTCTAGGAGTAAGGAAGATGCACAGGGCACACTCCTTACCTTCGAGGAGCTCACAGATAAGAA